TTTCTGTGCTCGAGCAGGTCGGAGGAAGTGGGGAAGCTCTGGCTGCAGATGGAGCAGATTTGAGGAAGCTGGCTCTGGTGCGAGTGAGACTTCTTATGGTGGACGGTCAGTGCACGGAGGTTGGCGAAGGAGCTCCTGCACAGCTGGCAGGAGAACGAAATGGCCACGCCGTGATGTTTACTCTCGTGTTTGGCCAGATCCCACGAGTGCTGGAAGGTTCGGTCACACTGCGAGCAGTGAAAGGGTCTCTCGCCAGTGTGAGTGAGCTGGTGTCTCCTGACGTCTGACGTCCGGGTGAATGTCTTACCGCATGTTTCACACGTCAGTGCCTTCTTTTTGTTTGGGGGCTGAGACACATTTGCTTTGCTTTGATTCTCAGGCTGTTCTGCTTTGCTCTGCTCTGTGTGTCCTTTGGGGAAAAGTTTAATGGATGTAAAGATTTCATCTGTGCTGGAAGGAGACGGTGTAAATTTGGCCCCTGAGAGAGTCCTGTACAGCTCAGTGCGGACACTCTGCATGTGGAAGTGCGGAGGACTGTTTTCGTCCGAGTTGTGGAAGGGACACCGTGAGCAGGTGAAGATGATCGACGTCATCTCCTCCGAATCGCCTGCAAATAGAAAAAGAGATAGGTGTGAGTAAAATGTGTGGATTTTAGTTTTGAAAAGATGTTTCTTCACATGTTAAAATATTACCTTTGTCGATTCCTTTGATGGCTATAACAGAGGGGGCAACTGATACATCAGCCCTGCTCCTGGGGAAATAAAAATGCTGTTGGTGAGTATTTAGTTTGTTGTTTTTTACATTTTGGGGTTTTGGGGAAACAGTTTATAAAATGTTACAAGAAATTATAGGAAATTAATTGAATTGTATGGTACTTTATCTCTGCAATGTCTGTGGAAGCGATAGATATTTGGTTAAAATACTATTATTAGAAAGTTAAAAACTATAAAAACAAATAGTTTTACATTCCAGAGCCAACAGACAGTTAACTTAGCTTAGCACAAAGACTGGAAACATGGAAAAAAATTTCCCAGTTTCTGGTCTGTATGCTAAACGAAGTTAGCCAGCTTAATATACCGGTAGTAGTTTAATTTAGTTAGTGACAGTGTCCTGTCTTGTCCTCTCATTATATTACCTATTCTTAATCTGAACTATTCCTTAAATAAAGTAAAAAGAAAGGAATAAATACAATAATATTACAGTATAAAAGGGTTTTGTACATTTTTGGTTCTTCACTCATTTCTCTGGATGACGTCTTGACTTTACACGTCTCCTGCCAGCTGGGTGAAGTTTTAATTTGTAGCCGAGTGGATCGGCGCACGTTAGGTGAACAGGGAGACTGTTGTGTTTCAGACGCTAGATCGTCACCGGAGACATCCGCCAGTTCTTCATGAGCAGAGACGGTTTCATGCTTATCCTTCAAGTCTGTACAAGAGTCCATATTGCTCTCTTTGTCTCCAGGTTGGAAATCCTCCATCACCTCTTCGACAATGTTTTCTCTTTTCTCGTCAGTTTGGTCACTTGTTTCATGTCCTTCATCTTGGACATTTCCTGACCCAAGCTCGTCATCGAGCGATGAATCGTTACTCTTTCCTGTCAGTACATCTTGAGCAAGGCTCTCCTTCCGTAGTGCAAAGGTTTTCGTCAGAGTCTCCAGAGCTTTAGCAACATCCACAGTTTCACTTGTTTCTTCTCCCCTCAAGCTGGTAGCCTCTTCAACACCAGCAGTGTCTGCGCTTACAGCCACTATCTCTTCTTCATAGAAATCGGTTTGAACCTGCACTTCAGCTGACTCCATGATTTCTTTGTCTACTTCAGACACTCCAACTTCCATTTCGGTGTAGACGGCCACGACGCTGTACTGGTCCGTTCCGACAAAAGTGACAGGGTTCAGGACGTTAGCGTAGTTGTGGAGGGATTCTAGTCCGACAGAGACGTTTGTCTTTTGCGAGGGAGGAATGGATAAAGCAGACATGATGCAGCTACCAATGGTGGATGAAGGGCCATCTATAAAAGAGAGAACAAGGAGTCACTGGTTGCAAAACTATACGTTTACAGCACCACTTAAAGGCGTTTACATGTAGTGTTGTAACTAAAGACTACCTGTGTTATCGACTTTTTTTATTCCACAAATAAAGCGACAGCAACCAGTTTAAAGTGCCAAGCAAGCTAAATTGCAAACACATTTCCCTAAAAAACACTTATTCTCATATTTACTATTATTATATTATTATATTACCATATTTATACTCATATTTGCTGACAATATCTGTTTTTTTAACCAATTTCTAATGATATAACAAAGAGAAAAGCAATAGATCGCTAAAGTAGAAGCTAAAACCAGACCATATTTGGCATTCATCCTTGATAATTAACTATCATCTATGATAATTAAGATTAAATGACTATCAAAACTGCCTGCATTTCATTTCAGCTCTACTCACACGGCATTTTCAGTAGTCCTGAACTTTTGTAGTGCTCGAAGATTAAGCTCAACTCTTCAGGTGATGAGCGAACACATTCCTCCAGCACAGAAGGAGCAGAACCGAGCCACGCTGCAGTCTGTAATCAGCAGAGCAGTTGCGGTAAATGTCACGTGTTTTTGCAGAAGTAAAACATCTGGATGGACTGAATGAATACCTGTTTTAAGTCTGGTACTGGAAGCAGCTTTTCCAGTTTTGAGAGCAGCTCCCATAGTAACACATGCAGAGCGGCATCATACTGGGACCCATATTCCACTGGAAACACCTCCTGTAAGAGATCAGTTTCAGCTTACTGCAGGACTCATTTAGAGTATTCTCAAGCTCGGGAATTAAAATCTTTCTGACCTGGAAGAAATATGCTCTCTCAACTGGATCTTTCAGCAGGCTCTGAACAAGTGCAATGAACGTGGATTCTGTTGTTTTCACCTCTGCATCCCTGTACTGCCGCAGATAGAAATTCACGTCATTTAAGGATTACCTTTATTTGCTTTTTTTTTTTTTAAAAAGGTAATTCCTTCACTGTACTTACATCTGTGTTTGCAGAGGTTATTGGGAGTCTATCCAAATGGCTCTGGATCGCCTGAGAATCAACCGAACCCCGAGCTGAGCCTTTGCAAAGCTCCAGAATCAACTGAAAATATCAACAAATTGTTACTGCAAAAGCATTAAAGTGAACACACATGAATGTGGTGTGATGCACAACCTCTGCTCACCCTCGCTCGCAGACCCAGAACGAGCTGGGCTCTCTGTCTGTGGTTGATCAGTCCAGGGAGGGCCTCGGTCACCATGAACACAAACTCCTGAAGCCTCTCGTAATTCATCACATCCTTCTGCTTCGCCAGCTGCCACATAGCAGCAGACAGAAGCTGCAGTGGGGGCACCAGGAGGCGAAGGGAGGACAGAGACAGGCTTGGGTCTGAAACACACACAGTGTAATGTGAGAGGCTGCCTGTTGAGGGCAGCAGTTTTTCTTTTTGTACTGAAGGGAGCACTTGCAGACAAACTCATTCAACTTTAACCATTTAGAAATGTTTAAATTAGCTTTTTTTCTTTACAATGCAAATATAATAGAGATAGAAAGTTGCTAAATTAAAGCAATGAAACATTTGCTGATAAATATATATTTTATTTTCTATGTGTAAAATGCTGCAAGAGAACCTGCCACAAGCCTATGAACTAGTATAATAGCTGGACAAACCTATGTAGTGTGAGTTTTAAACTTATAACCTGGTACAAATATTCGCGCCTATGTTTTAGATCTCGGAACAATTAACTGAATTACTTTATAATATTATTTAAACTATATAAGGCTAACGCAAAGGCGCCTGGATGACAGCTTGTGATTGCAACAATTCCTTTAAATAGACGGGTCCCGCTAACATAAACAGAGCCTGCTTTCAATTACAGCGGGAGCAGATTATAAATGTACATACCGTTTATTTTCTCTGTCGAAGCAATAAGCTCCATTAGTGCGATATGTCTCATGTAGCGTTGAGAAATAAATATAAAATTATGTTTTGTTTTTTTTTTTGGGGGCTAACATGCGCTGTTAGCACGCAAGCGCCCGTTTCCTCAACTCGTCTCCTGCGCTTCCTGTTTCAAAATAAAAGTCCTCACAACTCGGCTGTCAGTGCGCTTTACTTCAATTTCTCTCCCCGAAATATCTTAAAGTTTAAATATAACACATGCTCTTTAATTAGTAAATGTTGCACAAGTTTAGCTCACCTAGATGGAGTGATTTGAGAATTAATTTCTTACACATTTTTATCCAAACTTTTTTTTTTTTTTTTTTTACAAAACAACCCCATTTTAAGCTTTTTTTTTTGTTTTTACTTTACTAATTTAGCAGGAGAAAAAAAGTGTTAAAGACTAGGAGGTAATTATGATCAAAAGTATGAAGAAGAATTTGTCCTAATCAATTCTGCTGTGGTCAAACACACACACACACACACACACAAAATCCTGGATGTTACAAAAGCAAATAGATCCCCTACAAAACATTATGCAGCATTAAGCAACTTTCAATAAGTTTAATATACGTTTTAACACATATTTACAATATGATTAATCTCTGTATAAAAAATATATATTCTTTTGTGTAATAGGAAAGCAAATGTACAAATAAATCCCTCTTATGTCAGTAAAAAGAAAACCTCACTGTTGTCCCAAAGGTTGTTTTTAGACCTGCTCTTGTTTGATCTTGTGTTATTAAAATAATGTCATTCTCAGAAAAAGAAATAACCGGATGTTGTTGTTATTTCACAGACAGGAAAGGACTTCAAAATAAAATGTCTCTTTGTAATAATAAGCTTCCCCTGACAAAGCTTTATTTCACTTTGTTTGTATGTGTTTGTATACTGTAACATATATATATATATCTGTAAGTCACATCTGAATTATAACCCCCCTTTTTTTGCAATAAAGATGACTTTGAAATAAAAAAAAATAAAAAAAACTTCAAAATAAAATCTCAAACCACAACTCCCATTGGCTGTTCTCACGTCGTCTCTGACGTAATGACGCAACACGCAGTCCAGAGTCACATGAGCCCGTTTTCAGAGCCAATATTTTTTTTGTTTTATTATTTATTTATGTGGCGCTTGTTGTCTTCTCGCAGTGACAATTCTCGCTTTATAATCTTAAAGACGGTTTTAAAATAAATAAATAATCCGACATGGACGAGGACGGGCTGCCCATTGTGGGTTCCGGTGTTGATCTCACCAAGGTTGGTATCTTAACATTAACCACAGCTAAGCGACGCTAAGCTACCACCTTTTTTTTTTTTTGAGGAAATGAAGAGAAAACAGGCCAAAAACAGTCCTGCAACACATCTGTAACTGTGTTTATAAAGTCAGAGAGTGATAGTAACGTTAGTTTATCATAAGGCTATTCGTCAAAGCAGCCGACAATGTCATTGTAGTTAGCAAATATCATTTAAATACAGTGTTGGGTTGGGTTTCTGTGTTTTTTTAAATAACACTGTTAAACGTGATGAAGCTGTGCACTTTATTAGCACAGTATTTGGTCAACTCTTGTGACTTTTTATTCACCTTAGTAGTAAAAGAGGTGTTTGAGTTAAGTCCAAATTTGGACACAATAGCAGTAAATTCATACATTTGATAGAATAAACTAGTGTTAAGTAGTATGTGAGTAGATATATACTGAACTTAACAACAGATTAAATGCACTTCTATTGTCACTGGGTCTTCATGTGGGGAATCATGTGTTACTTAAATTAAAACACTGCCACTGAAACTGAAAATGTACATTTCATAAATACACAGGTGCCACTAAGGTAATGAAAGTAAAATTAAATAAGCACTCTAAGCCAAACAAATATAACAAAATAAGGATTTATTTCTGTTTAGATTACATAGATACATTATAAATATCCTATAGTGAAATTACTACCTTTAACATCTCTTTAATGGGCATTTATAGCTGTTTCTGGGAGCAATAATTGTAGCTGATGACTTAAGATAATTTACAAACGTATTTAGCCATTGTAAAATATTGTATAAGTAAATATTTATCCTCGCTACACTTAAATGACTCTTGATATTAGACTTGTAGTAAGTTGGTTTAACTTTCTTAAAAGTGAGTCAATGAATGCAGTGGGTTGTAGTATCTGGAGGGTGGAGAAACTTGTGTAGTAGGATGATGTGAATTACTTCATTTCCTCAGTACATTACACTCTGGGGTTCCTTCCTAAAGTAACTGTCTGTGTTTTCTCCAGGTCCCTGCTATTCAACAGAGAAGAGTTGTTGCCTATCTCAATCAGTTTGTCGTGCACACAGTCCGGTTCCTGAACCGTTTTTCCACAGTTTGTGAAGAGGTTCGTACATCTTCTTGTCCTTTTTACTTTTATTTTTGAACTTGTTCCTGCTCTCCTGATTAGTTCACACACAAATGACCTCTGCGACACGTACATCACATCCTGAACTGTCAAATTTCTTTCCCACAGAAACTTGCAAACATATCTCTCCGCATACAACAGATTGAAACAACCCTGTGTATTTTGGAAGCTAAGGTGAGTTTCCGAGCCTTTCCAGTCATTTTTTTGTGCAGTTTATGACACTTTGACACTCCCATGCGCTGATCATATGTCAAACACTGTAATGCTCCGAGCAGCTGTCTTCAATTCCTGGGCTGGAGGATGTCACAATAGATGGAATCAGTCAGCGGCAACCTGCTCAAGCCAATGGACCCACTACTGCTAATCAGAGCCAAACAGATGGTCCACCAGCAGAGCCCTTGCCTCCCCCAGAGGTAAATAAACTCACATGCACACAAACAAGCATAGTGCCATGCATATAAATGTAATGTATGTGCACTTGCCAGTTGCTAATGCAGTGCTTATAACTTAAAGTAATAGGTTTTGTGATAGCTTATGTGCTTTCTTGCTTAGAGTTAGCAGAAGATCTATATGATTCTCGTATTCTCTGTGAGTTCAGCTTAGTTTAACATAAAGACCGAAAACAAGGGTCTGTCCAAAAGTGACAACATGCACCTACCGGCCCCTCGAAAGCTTACAAATGAACACGTTCTGTCTGGTTTGTTTAATTACTACTTAAATTGTCAACCTCATGATGATGATGAGTCTCAAGGAAGTCAACATGACCAGAGAGAAGTAGTTCTAATACATCAACTCCCTGTAAAACCACAACTTTACACTTCTGTTTATGTAGAGATAAAACAAGAGATGCTGTGTGTGACTTTCTGAACAATTCCTTCAATGAAATACACAACAGAGCAAACAGATCACAAACGTCTCACAAACAAGCAAGTCTAAGACCTACAAGAGTATCGACCACTCAGAAATGCAAACTAGGACACCACATTTGATATTCTGTGCTCTCTAATACAGTTGTTACTCCACACTGTCTTATTAATTTGCGTATTTCATGTTGCAGCCCGCTCAGACTGGACCAGACCCTGCGACGACACAAAAAGCAGAAGCAGTTGCAGAGAATGTCATGACAGTGGCCAAAGACCCACGTTATGCCCGCTACCTGAAAATGGTTCAAGTGGTAAGTCATCACGAAGAACCGCTTATGGACTCTCGGGATTAAAAGAAAAAAAGGTTCTTCTCTCCTCTGGTTCTTTATTTTAAAGCATGTTTTATCTATCACAGGGAGTTCCAGTTATGGCTATAAGGAATAAAATGGTGTTGGAGGGTTTGGATCCTAACTTGCTCGAGTAAGTGTTTTACCAGTCGTATATAAATCTCTCTGCATTCATGTGGATTTGTTGTGCAACCAATAACATTTCCTACACCGCTGACGACAGCACGCCGGATGCCCCCGTGCCCGACGGAGGAACGAGGAGCGCAGAGGATCAAGATGTCGCCGCCACCAGCTCCGACAGCGAATCATCTTTCAGTGACTGACCTCTGTCCTCTGTCCACACCACCACGAAGCTTCCTGTAAAGCTCAACCATCGCTGTTCTGAGCTTCTGTAGGCCTGTACTCAGAAAGAGACATAGGTTTTACTGTGCCCGTAAAGGGGTACCAGCCAGAAGGTGTAAATGTAAGTGCCTGGAGCAGGAGAATCCAACCAGAGTGATTGTAATTTCAGTGTAAAAGAGCTGAAATAGTTTTGCTTATGGTCAGTGACCTGCTCAGTTTTGATACATTTTTGATGATTTTCCATGTTGATTATGTTAGCAGTAGTCCTCAGAATATGGCAGTAGCATGTAATTTTTGTACAAATGTAATTATATACTGTATAAGTTACTGCTTTTTCTTTGGTTGTCACACTACTAATCACAGTCTAATGCCTTTTTAAAGAGATACATTCATCAGTTAAAAGTTATGCCTCTTTGTTACAGGGTCTAGATAAAATAGAAAACAAGTATGTCGGATGCTTTGAATGTTTAACACATACGTTGTAATTCCAGGCAAGAACAATATCACAGTAATCTTTCAGTATCAATATACAGTTATATCGAAATACCAGTTTAATAGGAAGGAGAATCACATGTCTTTCAGCATGTGATTCTCCTTCCCAAAAATCAGCTGGAGTACCACAGACTGCTTAAAACCAGCTGTTTCTTCTTTATTTTTCTTTACAAAAACTTTGATTTTAATATGTTGACATATGAATAATATCCATGTTATAAATTAGTGTCTTATCACAGAGGATCATCATGCATTTTCCATTGTTTTACCTTGTTAACCACTACACAGTGAGTGGATATTTTCTCTTCTCTGTGATCGCCAATATTAGCAGGTGGCCATGTTGGAGGAACAAAAACTACAGTGTGTTCAGTGTCAGGCCTCTGTTGCATTGTATTGTTATTTTTAGAACATTAGTCCGTTTGTAAAGTATTCAGACCCATTTGCTTTTTGCGCACTTCATTGTATAATAAAAATAAGACGGCGTAAATTTAAACACAATCATTTCAAAGCCAAAATAGAGATTTTTGCTAATTTAAAAATGAAAAAATATGAAATCTGAATACTTTCCGAAGCTGCTTTATGTGTCTTCATTTACAATACAGGAAAAAACTCTTTATATCTCATTATGTCACATGAAACACAATAATGTATTGACTGGCGCTGCTTTGAATCCATGCATTTTTCCACCGACATGTCTCTTAATCTTTGCTTGGATTTGCAGAGTTTTGTTCAATGTCTGAAGTAAGAGTGGAACGGAGAGTAAACACACTTGCACTAAGAAGTACATTTTGCAGCTTTGTTTGTGTTGCGTATGTTGCTTGTAGTTAAGACTCTTTATCATTACAGTCAACAGGACTAAAATAGCAAGCAAAGAACTGTTGAGAACTAAATAAATTGTTGTATTCATGAGATTTCTATGAATGGATATTTCACTATAATGACTGTGAACAAGTTGGTGTGGAGACGTCTGGAAAGCACTTTGTTTACAAAAGCAAGAGGTTTTTGATCTGTAATAAACACTCAAACAGTTTGCTTTAAAAAAAAAGTGTGTCTTTATTTGGCAACTCAGCAGTGCATTATAATCTGTACAGTACATTATGTCATAAGCAATACAAAGTTAAAAACAAATCTTTCCCTTGTAAATACAGTATCTGTAGTGAACAGGTTAATAATCTGTGTCCACGTGACCTCCACTCTGTCCACTTACACGTTACAGCACAGGGTTTTCTCTTTGGAGTATTGTATGTTAGTACCATCTACTAATCACCAATTACAAGATCTATAAAAGGAGTGCATCAAAAGTACTTGACTTACGTATCAGCTGATAGTTAAATGTAATAGTGATCTTCAATTTGGGAACTTTCCTCAGCATGTGACAAGAAAATGAAGGTAATTAAAAACATTAAGCAGCCTACATTATAGTATGCATCTACTTTCCCATGTGTCATAACACTTTAATTTATTAATTGCATAAGAGTAAATAACTTCTCTCAGGGCTTCACAGCTTCTTACCTTTGTGCCCTTGGTTTTTCTACTGTACCCTGTGATGTTACTTAAAATAAAAACAAAATAACGACTACAGTATAAAGCTCCTAAATCTGGGTCGTGATAATCCCAAAAAATTAGAAGAAAAGTGGTTCGAAGTTGGAGAGATAAGAAACAATCCTACAAATTAAACAATTTGAGGGGGAAACAGCACGATCAAATAATTTTGTTCTGAGGGGTCAAAGGCCAAAAAGTTGGGAACTACCAGCTAAGGCACAGAATAAAGGCTTCATTTATCTGCCAGAAAGCATACTGGAAATATTGACTTCCAGTAAAGTCAGCTTTAATTCCTGTTTATATTATTACAGCAATTCAATTTGTCTGTTGTACTGAGCAAACTAATTAACTAATTCCCATTGCAGTATCAGCTGAGACCATTTAGCACGTGAACAGTAAGTACCAGAACCAAAACACTGATTTGTAGCATTCATTGAAAGATTTCAACCTAATTTAACAGTTTAGCCGTCAAAATAAAACTCAATTAGAGAAATAAAAAAAATATATATATTCAACATCGATTAAGGAAGTGGCAGCATTTGAATAATAATCCATATTTTCAGCATAAAAAGAGCACCTACAGTACATACCAGTGAGATAACCCAGTTTGGTCTCACCGTTTTCTCACCAAACATCAGTATGGACTAAACTTCCTCATACCCACAGACAAAGTTATCGTTGGTTTGAGTGGTATTCTCATTTAACCACATGTGTAGCGATCATGTGTTCACTGTGCGATGAACTTCTCTTATTAGCAGTCACAGGTCTGACGGGACATGTCACGCTGATGTGGCAAAAAAAATTCAAGATCAAAGTGCAAAGTGGCTGAACACTAGTAGCAGTAAGTACACTTATAAAAATAGTTTGAGGTTGTATAAAACACCGGACGGTCAGCCTGTTGTTATAAATAATGTAAAAAGTAATTCAGTCAGGTGATAAAAAAACACAAAATCCTATAAAAGCCTTACATCGTGAAATGCAGCATGTTTTTAAACTTAAAAAAATACTGAAATATCTACAAAACTTTGCTGGCAGTTGGGAGACCGATCAAGAGAAGGCTACTCCTCGTACTCTGTTTCCACTCGTAAGGTGAACAGCTGTAGGGAATAATAAAGGGAGAGGAATAAGAATACATTTAAAAAAGAAATAAATAAGAGTTTGTGTCTGATGAGTTTGATACTCACTTTGAAATCGTCGATGTACGTGAGGAAGAAGCAGATGAAGCTGAAGGCAACGATCCACTCACATACAGCGCTGGCTAAGTGGTAGGGATAGTCCTGAGGGAGGGATAAATCAGACATTCAACATGTGTACAACTACAATAACATTATCAATATCCTGACTGATCCTGATTCTCTAGAGGAATCCAGTAATTGTTTGGTCAATAGACCTTTTTCACGGCAGGCTTTTTGACATGAAATAGTACGGTAAACACGGATGACAGTGAGCCCTTCCAGTGAGACAACAAGCACAGAAGTAGCACCCTGATTCTGTTTACCCCTACTATTTCATGTCAAAATGGCTGCTGTGAAAGTGATCTAAACCCCCAAATATTCAGATACAGTGGTTAACAAACTTCTTTGCCATACAACGCCCCTATCAGGCTCAAGGAACCCAACTCTTGGCTTATTATTTCAATCCAAGCTAAGCTCTCCTACACACGAGTGGATATATTTCTCTGATCAAATTAGTTGCTGCACAATCAAGTATCCATGGTTGGGAATCACTGGCATAAGATAAAGAAAATAAATCCAAGGAATGAGCATTTTGCTTAAAAAATCAAGTAATTATCCAAATATTTGCTGATTATTTATCTGTTTATTGACTAATTGACATAATGTTTCAACTTTAAACTGATGTATTCAGACATGGTGACAAACTACAGCCTACCTCGTCATCTTTGTCTCTGTGCAGCTTGCTTTGTTTCACATAGAACGCACAGATGACAGCTGAATTATTCATTAAAGGAAATGGCATTTAACAATGGTCGGCACCTAAAAATGTGTGAAGAATGATTCTCATGTGCATTTACAGGTTGACACTATCATGATTGTATGAACAGCAGCAGCATGTTAACATGGTAAAAAGAAACATCAGGAAAAACCATAGACTTTTCTGGTTATAGACTTTTGGTTGGTATTTTAACAGTCGACTTCTGTGAAAGGATACTGGGGAAAAACGCCAACGTAGCAAGGATGGCGATACCCAAACGTGCTCGACACACACCCATGGACGACCCAAATGGATAGGCACGATATGATATAATGGACTGGAGGATTGTGTAAAGAATGCCAGAGACAAAGAACAGCAGAGCTCCTATATCATGAGCTATTTCCACTGTTGTTTCCTGCAATCCAAAAAAAAAAAAAGGTAGAAAAATATGATCTTAAACATTAAATTAAATCATTTAACTTTGATTAAAAAGTGCAACCACATGTGGAGACACACCTGGAAGGTTGCAACAATACACATGCCCACACAGGAGATCATCCCAACTACAAGAGCACTTTTATTGAGAAATGGCTTCACCACTCTCGTTTGCTCACTCAGCTTCTGTACAAACTTGTACCTGGCGTATATGGTGGCTATTCCTGTGAAGGAGATAAAACACACATTTGTGCATTTACCACAAACTCAAATCATACAAATTCTGTTTCAGTTTTCTTAAAAAGGGAAATGTGACTGACATGTTTGGAAAGTTGGTTCCTCCCTTGGGAAAGCCCAAAGTTGCCTAATAAGAGTCATTACAGAGGTACCAGACACTGCAGATGTTCATACCTGCACACGCAGAAATGAATGTCATCAGGCCAAAGATGCAGCTCTCTGGGGGGTTTGCACCTGTGTCACTAAAAAGCGAGAGGAGAGAGATCTGCATTTTAGCCCTCGAATTTTCAGACAAGTGATGGTAGATAGTAACTTCCCGTTTGTTGGGGCTATATGTACAGTTTGCAGCTAGTGAATGTAAAACTTTTACTTGTCCCCTTAAATAATAAGTCTAATTTTAGAGGGAGAAGTGAAAAGAAGAGGTCTAAAGCTGCACAAGTCTCCTGAAACAACAGACGTACGTGCAGCTGGAGTTTGGGCACCTGCCAGCTGAGGAAAACGAAACTAAAGCTTGGCAGAGCTCTCACAGAAATCACAGAAAATAAAATATATACATGCGTTTTTTTGGTTAAAGATAGAAGAATTACGCTACATTGTCACATCCAAAACAACAAAACCTACCTTATGTATGGGAAGATTATGTCGACATCATGTCTGAAAAGCGCAATAAGGTAGGAAACGATGAAAGTGCTGGAGGACCAGATGACCAAAAACGCTGGCAGGAAGCAGAGTCCTTGCATGAACCAAAACATCTTGGAGAGGTTTTACGCGTAACGTCCAGAAAACGCAGCCAACACGTATGAGTACAGTAAAACAGTGCCATACAATGTTGAAATCCACGTTTTAAACAAAAAAAGGCTGGTCCAGGAAAGGGAGGCTGAGTCTGGTCTGTTACTGGCAAGTCACAAGGTGCTGAGAAGTAATTGTCTTTGCCAATGTGACGATATACAGTATACAGTAACCTCTTCCCCAAATCGACTCCCTGTGGGCCGGCCTATACGCAAATGTGAACACGCGCTGTGATCATCTCCCTTCCTTCCTGCCTTTCTTTTAACAAAAAAAAAAAAAATGAAAAAAAAAAAGGCTTTTTCTGTTGAATCCGTCAGGAGTCTGCCAGTAATGATGAGTCAAAGGCTGGGTGGGGGGCGGGAGTGTTCACATCTTTCACTTAGAAATGTAAACAAACACTTTTGTTGTGATAAAATTCAGATAACCTGTGAAAAGTTGATGATTTCAGTGTTATTGTGTTATATTATTAAGCAGCATTATGTAGCTGGTTGATGTAAAGCTGATTGTATCTACTTCAGACTGTATAATATCGGGTAGTTGATGTGTTGTTTTTGTAAAAGCTTAATCTGTAAAGTAGCTAGAGTAGAGGTATAAAGTGGCTTAATTCTTTTATTTTACTCATATCTATATTTATATTTTATTCTAACAGAGGGGATCAAATATACACACATATAAACACAACTATACATATATATTTTACATATCCATATGCATACTTACTGTAACACCCATATTATAATATAGTAGCTTAATCACTAGTTCTTTAAAAACACCATATAATACCAAAGAGGACATCTTAGCTGTAAATTATTCCACATAATGGGTTCAGAAATACCGAAGGCTGCCTTCAGATGGTGATAAGAATAGAAGCAGGCTACCTAAAAGTCACTTTAGTGAGTAATAATTACATTACAAGACTTTATTGTTTTGTTTTAGTTGTTTATTCACTTTTTTTAAATGTACCTACAAAATAACAAAATACATTTACTCAAGTACATTCACTACGGCACATTTCAGATGGATATATTATACTTTAAAGTCCCCTATTTATCTTATAGCTGTAGTTACTTTGCAGATTAAAACATTTATAATATATGATGCATTGTTATTGATATAAGTTAATGTACTCCACCTTGAGTACAACACAGTACAGCACTAATAATCCAAAAATGTACTACATTATAACACTTAACGTGGGAATTAGCCTTGTGTGACCCCTTACCACGTTTTTTAATTGTGTTTTTTTTCTAACCGACCCCTGAACGCACCACGGACGCTGCTCCCCTCCACCAGAGGGCGGTGACGCGCACGCAGCGTCAGCGTCATCACCAGCGTAGAAGAAGCGTCAAATGTATGGTTGTCATGTGTCACGCAGTCTGGCTCTCGGTCAGCTGACAGATCCGGGTCCGCTTGTGATGTTTACTTTGTTCGGTGCGTTATTTGTTTTCGTTCAGTCTCGCGTTATTTATTTTATTTTGAATGAATGCAGCGTTATGCGTCGCCAAGGAGAACCATGGTAGTCGTGAACTCGGTGCTCAAGCTGTTGCAGAGGCAGACGTACACATGTCTGTCCCACCGATACGGGCTCTACCTCTGCTTTGGGGGGCTCGTCCTCATGATAGTCTCCGCATTTCAGTTCGGAGAGGTAAAGCTTCTCCTGTTTTCTCTCTTCCCCTCCACTTTGTGGTGTTTGCTGATGAATTGGCCGGCTGACGTCGGTCGCACGACAGCTGCTGTGTTGAGTCTCCACCAGATTACACTCAAGAATTCGGCTTTTTTAAAAACGATCTTGCTTGCTAGTAAACCTGCGTGTCTTTAGTCTTTAATTGAGACGTTTTATGGATCAGTATGGTGTTTATACTAATTCGGCATCATAATAAATCATTTAACTGTACGTATTTAAAAGACAGTGTACAATCTCTTTACTGATTTACACCCATGGCTTGCAAACTGACAGCTGTAAGTTAAGCATTTTTATTGAGGCAGATTTGTGGATGGCATTCAAAGCTTTTAAATAAATTTGGATTTAATATTAGTTAAATTAAAGAGTGGTTCCTAAAGAGCTGCAACATACCCAGAGAGTCATACTGTACGGGCACTGGGTGAAACAAGTAAACAGCTCTGGTTTGGTGTGGCCTTGGTTGTGTGAAATCTGGGGGGTAGCAACATGTGCAACTGTTTGTCCCAGAGGGTTGTATCATCAAGTGCCCCCTCCTGTCCATACAGGTGGTGGTGGAGTGGAGTCGGGACCAGTATCATGTGCTGTTTGACTCCTACAGAGACAATGTGGGTGGGAAATCGTTCCAAAGCAGGTGAGCGAAAGACAGCATTTATGCCCCCCGAGAAGAGTACGTTGAACCCATCCCACCTAAAGAAAAATCATGCATGTGTGTATCTTCCTCATTTAGAAAAATGGGGTTTATTTTTATCTCCACACTTAGAGGAAGTGCAAAATCTTATTCAGTGGTGTTAAGATTTAAACACTCTTATTTATATCATAATTCACAAATGTTACCCGTAGCCCACTTTCTGTAGAATACCTTCCTTCTGCACTCTTCCCTTGAAAGAAATATGAAAGAACTGGACAAGGTGTAACCATGCATGAATAAAAAAGACTCAGTGGAGGAAAGTGTGTGCACTGGGGGAGGGAAACAGGGTCACGTCTTTGCAGTTTTAGAGATGACTGTGTGGAGGGATATGAGTGTTTCTATTCTTTTTTTTACAGGCTCTGTCTGCCCATGCCTATTGATGTGGTGTACACATGGGTGAACGGAACAGACATGGCTCTGTTGAAGGAACTGAAGACGGTCAAAGAGCAACTGGAGGAGGAACATAAAGCTCTGAGGTAACTGTGGCTCCACTGTCTGTGCAAGTAGAGGGGTGCAGTCTAGCTTGACTTTTAGGTACAATTGATGCCGACTGCAGCCCATTACTGCAAGTAAACATGAACCTTTATCTGCAGAAAGCACTATATGGCCATAGAGTGCAAACACACTGATGAAGCTTCTGTTTGTTCACCTGAATGCAGTCAGAATTGGCATACAAGCTTGAGCTGTAACATTATCATTTTCACTCTGATTGGCTTGTGGAGACATTGCCCCAGAGGAAAGAGGGAATCTTCGATCAAAGGTTAGAATAACTCAGTCAACAACTAAGTTTCATTAGTCTCTGAACTTTTCTTCTTTCAGCTGATGCCATGAGAGTTAAGTTAAACTGGTGAAGTTATTCTTTTTACTGCCTTCTGCTGAGCTCTGCCCGGCTGCACAGTGTTGTTACTTGAGTTAGCATATGATGAAACTAATGTGAAATCACTGTTTTATGGCGCACAGGGAACGCCTCGGGAAAAATGCCAGTGAGACAACTGAAGTGCCAAAAGACAGGTGAGTCTGAATACATGCGTTGGGTGTGTATTGTATTTGTGTCATAAATTGTTGAGAAAGAATTGAACAGTCTCACAGCCCAAGGGAAGAATCGGATGGCAGCAGGGTGAACAGGCTGTGGCTGCAGTGGTTGCTGTCTTTCAGTATCCTCACCTCACCAGTATCATAATCGATAATTGTCTGGGCGGTTTTAATCACCTGCTGCAGAGTCCCATGCAAGTTTGTGATGTTTCCAGTCAGGATACTTTCTATCACTCCTCTTTAAACAAGAACTTGACACGATAATTTTGCTCCCAGGAACTTAAAATTAAGTCTGTCTTTGCCTCTTTTTCCCTAAAATCAACAATCAGCTCCTTTGTTTTGCTGACAAAGAGCAGGAGTTTGTTTTCTGTGCACCACTCTGCACGATTGTTGATTTCCTCCTGATATGAATCATTGTTTGACACAGAGTTATCTCTACGTTGGGTGTTGCATACATTGTGTACGTTGTGAACAGGAGGAGGCTGAGCACACAGTTCCTGAGGGGCTCCGTTGTTGAGCACTAGAGTTGAGGAGGTACATGTAATTTTATAGCACAATTTTCATTATAAATAGACTCCTATTAGTGAAGGTAGGCTACATAACAGATACACCTCTCTGAATAATGCAACACAGTTCAACAGCACCACACACTACATCCTCCAAAATGATCATACAGTTGAATCAACAAAAGATAAACATTATAACCTTCATATTCATGAAAGTAGGATTTATTGTGTTATGTTGGACTGCTTTAGTTTCAGATAAGTGTACCTAATAATCTGGCAACTGAGTGGGTATATCGTGTAGTTAATTGTTCCAGAGAATAAACTGAAAACCTGTTTTTAGATCAAATTACTAGATTGACTGTCTGATTTTAGGTAATTTAGTAAACTAAATCTCTGACAAAAATGATTTTGATATTTCCATAACAATTTCATAAAGGTGTAATAGAGCAAGAAAAGGTGTTCTACAGATCAAAATCTTCTCGTTGTATACACACACTCCCTGGCCACTTTGTTAGGTACACTTATACAATCTAATGAAATCTGCCACATAGTCCATCTTTACAAAGCTTAAAATGGTTTAAACTTTCTGAGAGGTGTCAGTTATATGTGTGTGTGTATATTTGCCCAATCCCATATTTAAGTATAGCCTCTAACTTGTGTTTTTAGGGGTAATTCACTCCTTTAAAACAATGAGAAATGACTGTTAAAGTCACAGTGAAACAGCATTGTGAGGACACTGAATTTGATGTTGAAACAGGAAGTTGAGGTGGGTTAAATGACAAAGAGATATAACTCATGTGTAAACTGGTAGGACAAAATTGTTTTTGTCAAAGCAAGTGTACCTGTTGGCTCGAGGGAGGTGAAAATGTCCTTTTTATGTTTTGCTCTGAGTGAAATGATCAACTATTGTGGCGACATGGTGAACCACAGTGAAGATTCGACTTGAGGGGGGCGTTAGGTGTTTCCTGTTAACAATGTTAGGTTGACAAAGAGACAAAGGGGCCCCTTTCTTGCCATGTCCCTCCTCCTCCTCGTCGGCCACTCATCTGTTAATCGCAGACACGAAAAAAGGACTTGATGCAACGTTTCCACAAAGGAAGCTATTTGCTGAATGTGTGAACTCACTGACTAATTTCATGGATATGTTTAAGTATAGCGCCAAAACCACAAAAGTTAGAGGAAGTGGCAATCGGAGTTAGATTAAATTAAAGATTATATATCTTTCTTTTTGTTTTTAGTGTTAAGCCAGAATGCCTGCTGTCCCACTGCATCATAGCGCCCATGCTGGCCCTGGATCCCGCTCTGCCAGCCAACATTACACTCAAAGAGCTGCCGACGCTCTCTCCCTCCTTCTCCGCCGCCAAAGAGCTGCTGCTGCTGAACAAACCCTTCCACCCGTCCACCACCGCCTCCGTGGTGGTCTTCCATTCGCAGACTGACGGTAAAAAAACGAGGTTCAAATTTGGCAGGAAATATTCTCCCTAAACGATTCCAAGCAGCATGAGAGAGATTCTCCCAGGTAGAGCAATAAAAACCACAGAGCGGTGTAATAACTGAACCCAGCAGGAATCATTTTTTACTGAGGAGGGGAAATATTATTTACAATGCAAATTATGTTATTTGAAGTGGATGCTGAAATCCCTATTACTAGTTACTGCAGCAGCATGAATGATCAGTACATAATGTACAAAGTACATAATCACCGGTGTACTCATTATACAAATAGTACATTTGTAGAGAATTCTAAGTACATTTAACCATCTCTCCTCTTTCCATTTCCTTTAATAAAATAAAAAATATTATATTTATCTTGTATTTAATAGCTGTACCTTACACCCACCTTATTTTTCATGAGCTACTTGATACAAATCTATAAAGTTCATTCGCCTAAATTATTAATATGAGAATGAAACTTTAACTGGGAGAATGTGACTCCTGAAATTGATGTTACAGAAGGTTTTTAGGCCTGTTTTGTAAAACTGAAATAGTTTTAGAGTGTCTGACGTTGTTGCAACTCTCAAAGGATTGAGATCCAAGAGAACCACCATCTGTGAATTTTTTTACTGTTTTAACCATTAACACCTATAAATATTCTGATGCTTGGCCATTTAGGCATTTAAACATCAGTTTATCTGTTATCCGAGGATCTAAAATGTCCTATACTCATAGTCATACATAACATTTTACCAGATAAATGAAATATAAGCAGAATCTATGCCCAGTTAACCTGTTCAGTCACCAAATGAAGCAACATTTCTGCTATGCCAGCATTTAAAGCTTCAACCATGACACACATAATTAGCCTTTAAAATTAGAGTATGTGCACCATCAGTAGTTGTCATGGAACCAGCGGTGTGGTGCTTTATTCACCGACAGGATGTCGTGCAGGCACAGCCTCGGCAGCATTTAACAGCTCAACTGCAGTGCAACCTTGTGGTTTTTTGAGATGCATTACGTTCGTTTATGTTCAGTTTAAAGACACGTAACCCCGTCGTATATCACAGTATTTTTAGACGTGCTGTGTGAGACCCACACCTGGAGGGTGACTAATAAGAGCTCTGTGAGCTGTCAGATCATACAGACCAACTCATTATTGATTGATTATTATTCGTGACTGTAAGCCATCTGATGGTTTGCATAATTGTAGTAGTATGGATGAACAGATAATAGATAACAACAAGTGGCATGTTGAGCTTCAGTTCCAAACAAAACCGCAAACAAAACACACAAATAAGGGATATTGTTACCAATTAGAAATAAAAAGTAACATTTATATGGCAAATATTTTTAAATTAAATGTGTATATAGTGGAGTACACAACAGTAAAAGACGAGAGAACTCACTCAGATTAACTAAAACTACAGAATATGGCTGGTTTATCAGTCTGGTAAACGTTTATTTATCAGCTTTTGTGATATAAAAATGTCCCACGTCTTCTCAAAGCTGGCAGATGACTTATTAATGTCGTCCACCTTCACAAAATCTAATATGTCTCTAATCTAAGAATGATGGGTAGATGGAGCAGGGGATTTCCACCTGCACAGCTGAGGGCGGTTATCTAAACATCCATTCTTAGTCCTTGTGTTTTTATATCTTATTTAAGCCGACAAGTTGACCGTTAGTGTATATTTATTTGCATGGTGTTGTTGAACCTGCAACTTTTCATTTGCTTCAAATTCTGTTGCTTACTGTTGATTCATTGGATTTTACAGCTGATAAAGCCTATACAGATGTGTCTAGAGAAGACCACAAGTTCTCTGTGTCCAGATGTTACCTGGTGAGTTTCTATTAACTGTTGAATGCATGTTGTCCTGTATGAAAATGAGCATGATTTAACATATTCACCTATAAATTACACAGCCCTCAATGACAGATCCAGGTAATTAAACATGAGTAGGTGTTTTTATGGAGCATTCAAATCTACCTCTTTGGTGTGTGTGTGTGTGTCACAGACGACCGATAAAGAGGCTCCGGGTCTGATCCGCATGCAGTCCCTGGCCTATCTGAGCGGCTTCCCGGCGTCCTTTAAGGAAACGGAGCAGCTGAGAGTCAAACTGCCCTCTGTCATAACCACTAAGATCAAACAGGTAAAACATTTTTATTATTAAAACATACTAAATCATTACTTATTACTGTGGATGTATCAGATCAAGTGTTTTTAGCACAGATCCCTATTGGAGTCCTTTTATTATTGAGTATCTGCTTATACCAAGTCTGATCCAATAGCTATATTTAACTAAATGTTGATTAAATATGTATTTGAAACATTTAAATAACAGCTGTAGCCTTATTAATTTGTCACAGGCTACTTAATCCAAACACAAATAGCAATCAATTAAAAATTAAAATCAAATTTTTCCTACTTTAAATAGTTCCTGGTGGTGTTGTGATGCCGGTCAGATTTCTTACAAATAAGATGAAATGGAGAGAAACTACGTAAACACAGTATATTTGACATTCTTGCAGAGATTCTCTGTATTTGTTTACATCTACAAGATTTATCCATATGTCTTTGGGACACTTTTATTTTGAAATCATTCTTTTGTTCTTATTCTACTGCATATTTGGAAGAACACATTGTTAGAGCTAACCTTTTTTCTTTTACTTTAATTTTGTAAGACTATCAATTAAAGATCTCTTCTCTTCTCTTAAATCCACTATATGCAGATGTATGAGGAGGCGGATATGTCAGTTTCAGAACAGCAGGGGGCAGAGTTGGACACTTGATAAATGTACAGTCGACACTCTTGACTTTTAGCTTTCTTTTTATAAATTGTATCTCTTGCTCGATGCAGAGACTCTGCACTATTTTCTTAATGTTTTTAGGAAGTGTTGTCAGTGTCGAGGATAAAGTCAACTTTATCATAACTGACTTCTCCAGCAGGTGTCACTCTTGCAGTGTCCTATCTCAGTGCTGGGGCACGTTGCTACATCATTATCACTGCAGACACATACTGTATATTTGTGCATGCACAAATTAAGATCTTTTTATACATCATAGCAGCTTAATCTAAGAAAGGGCTAAGCACAAATGTCAGATCCTCCTTGAAGAAGAGGACCCGCTTAATTTGGGCTTTTTCTATTTTAAACAGTTACGTTGTGATGTGGATAGCGGGCCTCTGTTTAGCTGGGCGGCATGTGTATCTAATAATTTTCTCTAATCAGAACTCTGCTTTATATTTTGAGAGGGAGGAATGCCACTAACGAGCGTGGATTACTCCGAAATAATCAAAGAAAACAAAGCAGTGCAGCCTGGAGCTAAGTGACCCCGTCCTGCACCAGCAGGCGGGCAGGACGGACATGAGTCAACGGTTTGTTCCCGTCTTCCGATAATAAACTCACGTGGCTGATTAGAATTAATGGGTGATGGATTAGATAACATCTTTGGTAACTGCCTTTTATTCTAAATGCAAGACAGAGGTGTTATATAACAGATTTACAGTGACTCTGCAGAAGCCTTAAAGTGAAGTCAGTGTTAAAAACTGCCCATTATTGAGTGAAGCAATTAGGCAATTAATTGATTAGTGGATCAATTTAAGTTATTTTTAAGCTGAAATTCCCAAAACAGAATGTGAATATTTGCTGGTTTTCTTTATCTTTTAGGATAGTAAACTGAACATCTTTACATTTTAGATCAAACAAGCAATTTATATATGTCAGCTTGGGTTTTGGGGGAATTATGATCAATTTTCAATCAATCTATTGAGAAATTAATCTGCATGTTATTTGATAATTAAATAAGTATTGCAGCCCTACTGTATTTAAAACATATTACGAAAATATTATCTTTAAAAAAAACAGTAATTGGAGGTACATCAGTGCGTCTTTGACTTTAGATCTTTCATATATATGTGTATATATATATAACATAATATGTGTTACTATTATATATATATATATATATATACACAATTATTCAATGTACAATAAATAAAAATGCCAGTTTATTCATATCTTTTCCTCACTCAATTCATTTGTATTTTAATACAATGCATTTTCGATGTTAGGGAATCCTCTGTGGGTTAGATTTATAAATTGAGCCTAACATTTTCAAGGTTTTTGGGGTTTCTTTCATTGCCAATGCAAAATTAATTCCATAGGAAAATGAGTCTTATAATAGTTAAAGTTAAAATGGGTACTAAGTTCCAGATGGCATCAAAAATCTCTAACAAACAAATTTCGAATATTGAACTTGCAGATACCCCTTATTATTATTACATAACATACTGTACATAATACTACTGTGTATGTATGTGTGTGTATATTTATTATATAATAGTAGTATATATATATATATATATATTATAGTCACACATTACAGCTGTCTGTGAGCACAACAGGTTGAAGTAGCAGCGTCTGGTGAATCTCAGCGGAGTCAAAAAATCGCTGTAATTTGTATGTGATGATGTGTAGTTAACAGTCTTTAACCTAACATCATCATCAAACCCAGTTGTCCCATCATTCCCTGCATTGTTGCCCAGGTTTGCCGTTGGTGTAGTCTGGCAGGTTCATGTGTATTAATAACCAGCGGCATTCGGGCTGTAATTTAGCTGGCGGTGCGGGGGTTAACAGTAGAACAACCGTTTGGAGGGGCGTGGCGCCAGCCAGCACGCAAAAGGTCACAAGGATTTTACTGACCTCCATGCACTCTTGGACACACCCTGTCTCTCATGCATGGGTGTTTTATTCCTGGCTTTACCTGTTTGGGAGTTCAGTTTTTTATCTTTTATAAGAGCTGGGAAGTGGTGTCACAGAGTTCCAGGAAAGTGTGTGTGTGTGTGTGTGTGTGTGTGTGTGTGTGTGTTTGGGGTTTAAGGCTGGGGGATTCTAGGTACACGGGCCACCACACAATGCACAGTTTAGGTTTCAAGGTGTGTTCCTGGTGTCGCCAGTCCGATTCTGTGAAAGAGGGATAATGTGCATAGTGTGGAGGGAGAGGTTCAGCCGTGAGGCGGCCGGTATTTATAGCTGGTGTTAGACCGAGTGCTATGGTGATGAAAGCTGCCCCCCAACCCCGATCATCTGCCCGTGCTGTTGCCTGTCGAGTCCTGCCCCCACTGTTTGTGTACAAGCCCGCTGATGTTTTTGTATTAACGTGTATTTTTGTGTTATGAGGAGCTTACGGTTGTCCACACGGTGTCTCATCTCCACTTTGAAGCAAGATACAAACGGTTTATCCCTCGTATATTATGTGCTGAGCTGAATAAGGGCTGGTGTGCAGTAAAGAATAATGTAAAAATAGGAATTAGAAAAATAAATATATGGAGGATAAAAATGAAAGGGTTGAAGTTTATAATAATATATGTAGTTTAAGTATTAAAATGCTGGGCTGTGCATCTTTTTAGGTGATGATGATGATTATTATTTAACCAATTAATCGTTTAGTCTCAGATATTTCCGAAAATAGTAAAGAATGCCAATCACAAGAGCCTAAAGTGAGTCTTCAAATTGCTTATTTAATTTGACTGACTAAACCCAAAGAATTTTACTAACATATAAGACAAAAAAAGTAGAATATCTTAACATTTCAGAAGCTGGAACCAGTGATTTTCCAAACTTTCTTAAAATGACTCCTACTTATGTTTGATCTCAGTCAGGTAGGCCAGAAAAAGGAGTTTACTTTGTGGTTTTGTGGTTGTGTTTTTCTGACTTCTTAAAGAAAATGTGAAATAACCTTTCTCCAAAAATCTTTAATTTACACCCTCAAAAACAAATGTCTTCAAAAGAAAATCCAGCAATATTTTTTTCTTCACAGGACCTTTTTAAAAGTACGAGCAGCCTTCAACCACACAAATTGATGTTCTCAAGCACCGTTTTTATTAGATGATTAAACCTGTGTCAAAGTAAGCTAGTTTGTGTAATATAGATCCTCAATATTGGCATAATAATGAGACTAAATTTGCCATTTCGAGTCATTTCATTTGAATAGCTGATCAAATCTCATGTGTTTTTCTGATTCAGACATGTGGGACCAGACTAAGTTTTTCAGCTACAGTGCTGGTAATGCCAACACCTGAGCCCCTTTCTGAGCCGGGACATGTCGTCACATTATATAAAGAACTGGACAGATTTGCTTCAGGTTCCTCTGTAGGTCACCTGCCAGTGTCTGATTGTAAGACTGCTCTCTCGACTCAGCGGGGGGGTGCAGGATAACACAGCTTCAGCTCATTTATAGTTGTCTGTTGCGCCACTACAACATCTCAATCCATCTGCTTAAAAAGATCACTCACCACTGGGTTAATTGGTTTACTCAGAGTGTCAAACTCAATTTTTTTCCTACACTAATTACATTTTCGGTTGCCTCTGCGGTGACACACAGCGATCACAGATTATGTGTCAAACACTATAATTATACTACTGTTTACTATAACACTTTATATTTATTTTTACACTTTATAAGACACACATCCGCTGTGGTGGAGAATAAATGTAGGTGCTGCCTGGAGGAGATGACAGTTAGCTGATGAGCCCTTCAGGGTTTTCTTTGTAACATTAAATGTCACTCACGGTATTTACTCCTTTCTCCTCCTCTCTTCTCTCCCTCATACTGAGCATACTACTTCATGTTTTTAATGCTGCTTGAGATTGTTTACCTGAAAAATAGCAACCGTATGTTTCCAAATGAAACGGGAAGTAACCGTATTAAACTCAATAGAAAGTAAATGAATCAACAGTCAACTTCTCTTTAAACTTCCTGTTCTGCTGGTCAGCTGCTCTGTCTGCCATTGACCATACCAGAGCAAGGAAGGTTGTAGCAACAAAACCTGAGAGAGTACTGAATTGAGCTACTGTGTCTTATGAGTTTAACTTTTCATTTGTGAGAGGAAGGATGTGTTAATTTTTCTTTACAGTCTCCTTTTAAATGGGAAAGAAATTGACAATTTCTGCTTATTTTTCCCCTCTGACAATGATGCGAAAAGATGGAAATTGGAAAAATCTGAACTTACTTTGTGTGCCAGACATAACAATATATTCTAAACATGTTGGGGTCTTCTTGCAGGCCGGATCGTGCCCCCAGGCCAGCAGTTTGAGACCCTTGATTTAGACTATAAAATGCCAGAAAATGCAAAGAAAAAAATGCCCATTTCAATTTTCAAGAGTGAGGGTGAAGGTAAAGCAGCAGTTCCTTACACCTAAGAAGCTAATACCAGAAAACATAACTCGATAAATGATTAATTGATTGTAAAACTGGTTACCGGTCAAGAGAAATGGTTGATCAAGCAGTTCTTTCAGTACTAGTAAAATAATTCAATTTTTAATTTTCATTGTGTCCTAGTAAATAATCAGGTTTATATCTCATATGTTTGTTTAGAATTGTTTACGGTTGGCAGGGCAGACACGTGCCTGTGTGAGCCCGCCACACACCTCTGCTTTGTGTGCGTGTGTCAGAGCATTATCAGGACTATAAAGAGAGCTATAATAAAGATGGCAATGTGATCCGGGGCTTGGTGTCTCCTGGCTGCTCCCGGCTGGGTTTATAAGACACAGCTAATCCTCCTCACCTAAAAACAGGAGCAGGGGAAAAACGAGCGAGTCGAGGCAGAACACGAGGTCAACTGAGATGTTTGGCGTCAGTGTTGGATGATTTAGCGAGACAGGGCGAATCTTGTCCTGGGAAATGGTTTGAAATGGGCAAAGCCAGGGAGTCTCCCTCACATGCATCACAACACAAACAGACACACACACACACACACACACACACACACACACAGTCCCTGAATGCCTCACATAACTATCCTGAGATCAGACAGAGAGCCACCTCCATGTGACCCCAATGGAGAAGCGATGACATCACAGAATTTTCCGGACCTCTTTAAAAAAAAA